TTAATTGATTCATTTAAGCCTACATTCTCTATTTTCTTCTACCCGGAACTCAATGTGACTTCTTTTTCGACGTGTAAAACGATTCATCTGTGTAAATATCCTATGGGGACAAAAGAAACTCGAGCTTGTAAGTTATTCCAATAATAAAACTTTGACTTTGATTTTTGTGGAAAAAGCAGGATTTAAACAAACTATTTGAATCTAGAACAGATTTATTTGAATAAATTAATAAATCAAGTAGATTTTTTTAAAGTTTTAAACTTTGATTTTCGAAAGATTTGAAAAAAATTAAACAAAACTACTTCACCTTAACTTGCGATCGCACACTGGTTGTGTTCTAATAAAAGCGCGCGATCTGTGTCGATTAGTGACCTAGGCGAGTTTGAAGTTGTATGTGTTTTGAACATGTAAACCAGCGTGCCGAAATGCCAAGGTTTCTCAGCAACCGATAGGTTGCATCAATGCCTACGGTTATTTGCAGTTCCCAATCCGGCAATATTTCGATCTAGAAGCATTCCACCCGAATTTCAAATCTAAAATAGAACATAACATTTCGATTTGCCAGCTAAATTTATTTCAAAGTTACTGTACCCTGGAGGATAGTTTAAATATGCCCGCTGACGTGACACTTCTTTCGGAGCCGTCTTTGTTCATCATTTGTAAAGGCCAAACCCTTGTGGGTGAATTTGACAATCGCTGAGGGGTTAAAAATCCTCTACAAAGAAAAGCGTCTCTGCCATCGTGTTTTGATAAATCCATTTGGAAAATCTCTTCACAGCGCTATTTTGGATATAGTACCGTTCATACTTTGTTAACTTGACGGACGACCGATATGTGTGATGTTGCCTCAACTTGACCGTAAAATCCAAAGCTCAGCTAAACACCCTTTACAGCCGGTTCAAGCCAAACGGGGATTAACATTGCATAGATCCAATGAGGCAACCGCTAAATCCCCCCCCCCGAGGCCCTTCTTTGTTATTGACAAATGTATACTATGAGCAAGAAATTAAAATCAGTATTCTGGTTTGGAAGTTTTGGTGAAACCATTCTCAAGAATTTTAAAAGATCCTTTTTAAATGTAAAAAAATGTGATTTCGTAATCACTTTGGAATTCTTTTGATGCCAACCTGAAAGCATAAATCAAAACCTTTGAGAATGATGGGATAATTAGTCAAATAACACAATTTCTGATCACTTACCTGATTTGTTTATATCTCATGATATAGATTTCACTAAAGCATAACACTAGAGGGCCCAATGCTATTGGTGCAATACTACTTACTTATTATCGACCCCCTGAAATTCGTATCGCTTCTTGGATTATCAGGTTTCTGCTTTTCATCATAGTGAACAATGAAAGGACCCGGAAATCGTTATTTCGGTCACAATAATATCAGTCCCTTTAAGCATTCAAATTTTCTGTCCTCTCCAAACGTTTTCATCCCTGGGCGTTAACATCTTCAGCTCTTAACTTGACTGAAAAGGCTATCCTCAAACGCCTTCAGCAGTCTATGAACATTTCAATCGGTTCTTTACAGTCGGTTTACAAACCTGATAGATCCATCTTAAACGCAGGCTCCACCCTTATTCATTTTATCACTTAGTCTTTAAACAACTCTGTTAAGTCTGTTCTGTATGTTTTTCTTGACTACTCCTCAGCAGATCAAAGAGTGTTAAGAAACTGGTATCGCTGGTATGCCCCAAACAACTTTTAGCTTGGCTATCGAAATATTTATTGATTGGAGAAAGCTTCATCTAAACCT